ATATATATATATATATATATATATATATATATATGTCTATGTATCTGATATATCCATTTGTGAGTATGTTGGATTGGTGTGTGTGTTTATGTGTAGCCGATGTTTATTTGTGAATTTGTGTGTGCGTGTTTATAATTTAGGTTCATATCAAATTGAACAAAAGAAATAATCAGCACACTAAAACAGCAGCACTTCATAACAAAATAAAAGCAAAAAAGTTTTTTTCTTGAAAACAACATTTATATGACACTAATTGATTAATTGTGATAAAGTGTAACTATATTTGTTTCAAAAAAAAATTTTTTTTTTTTTAACTGCATTAATGCTGTTTCAGTTACCTCAAAAAAAAAAATACATATATATAAAATGAGAAAAAAAAAGGAAGAAAAAAAACCGCTGGAAATATACTGGTGAACTGCTACTTTTGACATTTGTCATCATCAATTCAGGAACGAAAAAAGTTGGACAAAAAGACTAATTTATCAATGCCTTTAACATATGGATGATATGTGTGGAATTTTTAAGAATGTTGCTGATGCAAAAAAAAAAAAAAAAAATTGGAAAATTTTTTTCTAACATCTATAAAATGTGCATATTTTGTTGTCACTGTTGTTTCAAGCTAATTTCTAGAAGCTTTATCATTTTTTTTTCTCGGTTTTATCTTTTCTCTCTACCCGTTAATAAAGGAAAAAAAGTAAATAGCTAAAAACAAATAACTCAAGAAATCTTTGTTTGTTATAATTGTTTAGTTGTAAACTGCCATCAGTTGAATAAGAATTTTGTCATTGAGACTAAAATTGCAATAATCAGCAGCGCTGAGCTATCAGTATAAAATTTCAATGTATTTTATGCAGCAAAGATCAACACGGAAGAAATGAAATATGATTTGTTAAATAAGAGTAGTTAATGCAGTACCCGTCTGACGAGAGTATGTCATAAAGTTCTGATAACTGAAGCGGAAAGAACAGTCTGATTATTTTATACTTTTTTTTTTTTTTTTTGAAATATACAGCTTAAACTGGAACTTTTACAGTTTTATTTACTATAAGGTAAAAAAATAAGGAAAAAAATTTGGCTTCAACGCTAGTGTCTTTGCTTGAAACAGTTTACTGTAGATATTTGTTGATGTAGTTGTAGATGCAGTGAAAAAAAAAAGTTATTTTGATTTGTAGCAAACGTTTTTAGACGAAAACGTTATTGTTGGTATCCGTAATCCGGCAATGAGCGAAGAAGAGCTGAAGCAGAAAGCACAACGTGAATTGGCAACTGCTAAAGATCCGGTAGAACGATTAAGATTGCAGTGTCTGTTGAGAGGTAATGCTGGCATCAAATCGTTGGGCAGGTAAGCATTTTACATCATATTTGTCCAACACTACGTGAACTTTGGATGTATCAGCGACAGTAAAAGTTGTTGAACAGTTATCATTATTCTGATAGTTCTGATCACAAGGTTACGATTAACGTTACAGAGGAGTAGCGAAGTGAAAAGTAGCAATTGGGAAAAGCTTTGGTTATTTGTTGGTTGCAGTTGAATGAAATACTTTTGAAGCTTTTTCTATAATTTATAAGATTTTGAGACCAAAATAAAATGAAAAATTTAACAGTCATACCAAATTGGTTGTATGCAGCAAAGCTTAGGAAACAAAATTTCTTCTCTATTAAGCAAACAGCAGTTTTCCAATACTCAAAATAAAATCTTTGTTCCGTCTGTCTCACTTTGTTTCCTTTTCTTTTTTTTAAGTTTTTTTTTTTTAAGTTTTAATTTATGACTTTTTTCGGATATTCTTTAAAAAAATAGCTTTCTGTTCTGATTCTTTTAAGCATATATAATCATATGTAGA